GTTGCCAGTGTAAAGCCGAATAAAATAAAAAAAAATGTTTTATTTATTTTTAAAAAGAGGGAGGTGTTTACGACATGGCCCATAACTTAAGTGTTTGAATTACGATAATTATTAAGTACTTTACACGTGGGTTTTATCGTGTAGTAATTCTTTGCCTGTGTATAGTAGCCTATATTTAAAGGTCTAAACGGTTAGGTGGAGTGATACGCCTCTTTGGACGAGAATCCTGAGAATGTGTATCCCTAGTTGGTAGTGTATTTTCACTTACTATACCACCTTTGTCTATTTTCTTAAAATGGCTTTTATTCCTTGCCTTTGTTTCGCTGCCTCTTTTTGCAATGACCATGTCACCATTAACCTTAACTACTGTGAAAGGCTTAGCTTCGTATTTAGGCTTCAATTTACCTTTTTCTAAGTTTTTGATTAATGCTTTATCACCCACTTGGATGCTAGATGGTTTTATGTTTCGCTTAATTTCAGCATGTGTTTTCATTTTTTTTACTGTTTATCATTGAGTTTTAATTTGTCATGTATCACTTCTGGCATACAACCAACCTTAGGTATCTGTGGAAGCTTAGTTTTTAATGACTTACCATTTGCTATCGTTGCTGGCGGGATGCCAGTCGACGTGTGGGGAGTGGCGCGATAGTTGCGTAAGAATTTGTATAGTTCTTTTTTCCATGATTTACCTTCCACTTGGGCGCATTTGCACACCTTGCCAATTGTTTTCATGAATCGCTCCGCACATCCATTGGCCTCTGGCCAACATGGAGTTATTCTTTGGTGTTTAAACCCTAGACCACGCGCAAAAGTTTTAAATTCATCTCCATTGAATGGTGGGCCGTTATCAGTTTTGAACTTGTCCGGTATTCCTCGCGATGAAAATAGTTTATCTAATACCGGAATGACAGTCTTTGCTGCAAGTGACCTAATTATTTCGACCTCCGGGAATGTGGAGTACTCATCTATGACTACAAGAAGGTGTTCCCCGGATGGCAATGGGCCATAAAAATCAGCTGCTAAATGAGACCACTTTGTATCCGGCAAGTGTCATTTTCAACGGTTCACGCGGTTTTGCATCATATGTGCTAAGGCACGGAATGCAAGAATCACACAAGCTTGCTACCATACTGTCAATATTCGGAAACCAAACCTTTTCTCGGAGTAGCGTTTTTGTCTTTACCTGGCCTTGGTGACCTTCATGCGCGAGATTAATGACACGATCGAGTTCTTAATTCATTAGGTATTATTACCTTAGTTCCTTTCAAGATTAGCCCGTAATTAGACACTGTTAACTCGGTTGCAATTTTACGGAATGCCAACAATTCATCAATATCTACCGTTTTTGATTTCGCAAATTTTACTTTGATTAAGTGCCACTGCTGTGATGAAATTAGCTCTATGAGAGACTGCAATGTGGCATCCTCTTTGGTCGCTGTTTTCAATTCATATAATGTCACCGCTTTAGGAATACTGTGGGTCTCTATGAAATTTACATATTCTTCAGAGACAAGATCTTTGCGAGAGCTGGTTTCTATGGATACCGGGTGACGCGATAGGTAATCCGCAGGATTATCTCTACCCTTTCTAAATACAATCGAGGGATTGTATGGGAGTAGTCTTAACGCCCAACGTTCTAATCTCGACGGAAGACTGGCATTGGCATTGCCAAACAAAGTAACTAACGGCTTGTGGTCCGTTACCACAGTTATTTGTGCGCCATAAATATATACATGAAAATGCTCGCACGCCCAGAGAATGGCCAACGCTTCACGCTCCAGCTGACTTTTGTATCTTTGTTCAACTGCTGTGAGCGCGCGAGTACCATAGCTAACAATGCGCGGTATACGCTTACCATCGTCGCTCGTATAATATTGTACCAGCATCGCTCCTAACCCGACAGGGGATGCATCAACAATTAATTCTGTCTCTTGATGCACATTGAAATATGCCATCACAAGCGCATTTGCTAAGGCTTGCTTTAATGTTTCGAAAGCTAACGTATGTTCTTTGCCCCAAATAAACTCAACTCCTTTATGTGTTAATTGCCTCAATGGTTCTGTAATTGTTGAATATTTTTTTATGAACCGAGAGCAATAATTAGTTATACCTAGAAAGCTTTGGATCTCTGTAACGTTGCTAGGCTCATTCATGTCTGTTACCGCCTTTACTTTCTTTGGGTCTACTTCAACACCGTGTTTAGAAAATATTAATCCGAAAAATTCCATGCGTTCTTTGTTGAATTCACATTTCGCCAAATTTGCTGTTAGGCCATTACTGTTTAAACGTGTTAGCACCTCATGCAAATATTTGTCGTGAATTTCTGTATTGAGACCAAATATAAAAATATCATCTGATATGTTAATTGCCCCTTCGATGTCGGAAATAACTTCCGAAACTATATGCTGAAACTTTTCGCTGGCACTACAGATACCGAAATTTAGTCGTTTATATCTCCATAAGCCATTATGTGTGGAGAAAATAGTAATGTAGCGCGATTCCTCGGCTAGCGGAAGTTGGTGGTAACCAGACTTTAGATCTATCTTACTGAATTTAGTGGACCCATTCACTTTTGCAATTATATCATCAATCGTAGGACTTGGGTGTCTTTCCCTGATAATTGCCTTATTAGGTTGTCGCATGTCTACGCAAATTCTAATTTCATCCGGGTTTCTGGGTTTTGGCACCACCACTATTGGACTAACCCAAGGGGTAGGCCGTTTTACTCGTTCAATAATACCCTGGTCTTCCAATTTACGTAACTCCTTCTCCACCTTTTCCCTCATATGGAAAGGGATTCTCCTATATGGCTGTGCCATGGGTGGGACAGACTCATCTATGTGTATTTAACTGATATGTCTTACATACATTTTCTTTAAGGATAGTTTTATCATCAGTTAACTCATGGGGACTAGCTATAGTGAAAACATACTCATCATCAGATGATGTATCTACCTTTACTGGATTATTAACATCTTCCACAGCATTACAAATGCCTGTACCTTTTTTTGTATTTAAGTCTACAATAATTCGCAAAGTGTCCAAGTCGTCCACAAACATGACATGGTTTACCATAAGCTGGACACGATTCTTTTCCTCCATGATGAGGGAAAGGCTTTCCGCAGTTGTAGCACGTCTTCTTTCCTGCACCAGTAGCAGGCTTGTACCAATTCTTTTGGTGGTGGAACTGGTGAGAAGTCTTGTTGTGCATCGGCTGTGGTCTCTGCTTTTTATGACCACTGTGATTACGTCTCACGAATTTCACCTCCTCTGACTGTTGCTGTGCGCTGTTTTCCATCTCAGACGTACTAAGCTTGTTAATTCATTGGTCCTTCCTGCTATCAGAAGCTGATCTAACATCATAGTGTTGTCTCGAAGAGCTGCTTTTCTTAACTTGGAGTCATTAGTGGTTTGTATAATATGACTCTTTAACTCAGCATCCATGTCAGTGAAACTACATTTCGACGCCTGTCTCCTCAACCTGATGTTGTATGCCATAATTACTGATTTCACTCACCACTTTGGTCTGTAAAATCACGGATCCCTGGTTCTACAGGTATTTTACCTCGTCACCAGTTTAATATTGTTTATTGATGATAGCAACAAACCATCTGATACTCCAATTCAATTGACACATCATACCAAATAACGACCCTACAACAAGTGTCCATTTTATGTGTTTCTTTATATAGCATATCTTCCAGCTAATCACGCTGGCCGCTCTAGTCACATGATATGATCGTGACGCAGTCACATCACTACAACCGTGTATGAAATTCTTAATGAAATGAATGTGGCCACCATCCATAAGTAAATTTCAAAATGAAGTATTGTTACCAAACATTGAGCAGATGTATGAAGCTCACATAAAGGATGTCCATAAAAGTAAGTTGCTTTACTAAACTTTATTTTAAAAAATGTGGTTATTAATTGGTTAGTAATTAATTAATTGTATTTTTAAAGAGATAATCAATACCAATCAATTATAAATTTAATCATAGCAGAGTAATAACATTATATATTTTTTTTACTATATTCTAGTTTATGAAAATCTGGAGAGAAAAGTTGTTGTTGCTGGGGACTGTCGCCTCGACTCTCCAGATCAGAATGCTACGTATGGGACTTACTCGCTGATGGATACCGATACATATATAATTTAGGCTTCTAAGAAAGTATCGTCAATGAAAAGGGAATTCTAAATTCTCATCACTTGGAAAACGTCGGTCTTCAAAGGTGCTTTGATGAACTGGAAGTTAGTAAATTCAGATCTATGTCTTTAAATTCCAGTACAGAAAAACATGTAGCTTACACCAATAACAATCAATATTATGAAAATGCATCTTTTTGAAATTAAAAAAAAAACTCTTCGGTGATGTCAGTGGTTTTACCATTATATGCCTCTACATGGTAAATTCTCCAAAATTCGAAGGTTAAAAGCTGGCCGTCAATTTTTTCCAACTGAATTGGAATCACTCTTTTATTAACAGACCAAAACTGGGCTATAGGTCACCTATTAACAGTTTTAAATAGTGTTCCTTTCTTTACCAATCAACTTGAAGCTTTAACAATTTTATATTATCACATTTCATTCTATAGGAACAGAAACTTCACATAGATATATTGGCAACGGATCGGCATCCAAAAAACACCTTAGTATCAGACATGAGTACGACGTATGGCACCTTGCAAAGTCGCTAAGGAAGAAACTGGTAGCTGCAGGCAAGAAATTCAAGGACCTCCAGCAGTGGGAAAAAGCGATTGTAAATCATCTGTGGTGGTCAGTAGAGACATGCCAAGAAAATGAAACACAATTGATGGTAACTATGTTTTCTTAATTGATATCTGTAAATGAACTAATAATCACTAATTATCGTCCAAACAAGTGTGCTTCATTCACTCATTCACTTGTTACTTAACTACAAATGTCAGGAACCAAGGAGGCTAATCTTACAAAATAAATACAGTAATTACAAATCTTAATTTAAAAAAAAAACAAAAAAACCAAGAGACAAAACAAAAGAAAAATAAAGCATAAAACAAACAAGCAAGCCAAGCCTTGAGGAATGTTGCAAGATCAATGATTAATGATATAATTAGTAAATTTATTTAACAGGAACGTTAAATTTCAGTCCTTAGACACATTGTGGATGTACATGAGTGGATATGCGGAACAGAATTCCTAAAATGTGAGCATCCACCCGTTGAAAAAAATATGACAAAACTTCGGCTAACATCAGGAAGCGAAGCTCATCGGGCTCTTCAAACAATTGTTACAGATAAACTACTTCTGCGTGACTTAAAGGTCAGTTTTACACCAATTAAAGTTGTGTTTTTCTGTTGGTTCCTAGTTTTGATACAATATCTACTGTTCATGTAGGCATCAGTGTCGATGTGGTTAATCACTGACTCTGAACAAAGCTTTGCCTTATACATATTTTGTGATTCTTGATATAAATTTGACAACATTTTAATTGTTATATCATTTATTTTATGACACTGAAAACAAATCTAAAAATAACAACATTGATTATTTACTACACCTTACTGATGCACACTTTAGGTGATACAGTAATGTCTGGCAAAACAAACATTTCTAGAAATTTCATGTACAGTATTAACATTATTTTACTTGTATACAGTAATTGAAATTAATAAGCTTCCCCTTTTTAACAACTTCCAAGTAAGTTACTGTAGTATACTCATTTTTCTTCATTGTATGTCTAAACGTTTGTTTTTGTAAACCACGTGATTTTGTCTCTGAACAAGCAACAAGATTTTGTCACACTGGAAATTTGGAGGTGTTCCATAATATGTTGTTAAAGTACCTCCCTAAGCGCTGCAAATTTAAACATAAAGGAACAGTTGCACGTACTTACTTGGCTGTCTTGGATAACAACTTGACCTCAAACAGAGCATACGCTACTTTAGCCAGTAAGGAACAGCAATATCGATTAGTGTGGTCAAAGAAATCAATCCAGAATTTACGTAGTGAAGAGGGTAAAGGAAGCCAAGTTGTATGACAAGCCAAGACCGCATCCAAACCGCAGAATGGGGATACGCCCTCGTCACGAACCAGAAATTGATCTAATTAAACGCTGGACAGAAAAAATAAACCAGGACCATTTAAAAATATTAATGAATTAATTGCTGTGTTTGTTTGTTTGTTTGAACATTTTTTTAACAGGAATCAAGAGCAAGTCAACTCTTGTAAAATCAAGGATAAGGAGTTTTGAAACAACCAGAGGCAAAAAACCAACCATAGAGAAAATAGAACAGACCAACAAAGGCTGATGCTGTGGCTGCTCATATATCGAGAATTGATAAAAACATGTTGACCAAAACTAATCCTGAAAGGCGATCTTAAGTAGACACCACCTCGGCAGTCAGTAACAATCACCTTCCTCACAACCCAATTTAGCATCACCATCCTCGGCTTAACAGTTTTGCTGTTATAATTATCCAATTATGATTGTTGAAATATAGCACAGTTCAATTCTTGTTTAATTTCTTTTTTTTGAGCATGTAGTGAAATGTGTTTGATTAATAAAGCTTTCAGACAAGTAGCTACCTATATATATATATATATACTGTCTCTTATACACATCTAGATGTGTATAAGAGACAGGTGGTATTTTCCTCATGATAATATTTATTAAAGAAAGGTAAATACAGTGTTCAAATAAAGGACATAATAATACATCGCGTAGCATAGCTCTCAACGAATGTAGTCCTGTAAATATATGAATAAAGAAATTGTGTAATAACGATTACCAGACGATACACCTGCCAAACGAGCTTTTCATGAATACCACCGAAAAAGTAAAACGTCCCAGAGGAAGACCAAAAACCACATTTATACAAACAATAAATAAGGACTTGAATCAACTTAAACTTCCCAGTGGGCACAAATTGGTTGAAATAACGTTGATTCAACGTAATATGCAAACATTGAATCTATGTTTAATTGTTGTTCTATATGAAAGTTTGCATCAACGTAAATCTCAACGTTGATTCAACGTAAAATGTCTAAGGTTCTTCCAACGCTAATTTTTGAACATTGGAACAACGTCAAATGACCAATGTTGAATTAAAATTGAATTTTGGTTGTATGTGAAAGTTTTCATCAACGTAAATTTCAACGTTGATTCAACGTCAAATGCCTAAAATTGTTTCAACGTCAATGTTTAACGTTAAAACAACGTCAAATGATTAATGTTGAATCAACGTTGAGTTTTAGTTGAATATGAAAGTTTTCATCAACGTAAAATGTCTAAAGCTGTTTCAACATCAATTATTTAACGTTATAATAACGTCAAACGATCAATGTTGAATCAACGTTGAATTTTGGTTGAAATGAAAGTTTGCATCAACGTAAATTTCAACGTCGATTCAATGTAGTATGTTCAATGTTAATTCAACATAAAATGTTCAATGTTGAGTCAATGTCAATGTTTAATCCTTTAAACTTACAAAATACACTGAGTTCAAAATAATATACTTGACCATTTTTTTTAATTGAAACTTGCAAAAAACATTAAATATTATGCATTGTACTATACAGGCATGTTTAAATCAGAGTTTTTGTAATATAACAACAGCTACTATTGCACACTTAGCTTAATTAAGAATCTTTCGCGTTACAAGATTCGGTTTAAATCAGTAACTTTCTTGGTGATAAATTATTTGAAGCTCTACTCCTTAGCCAAGTCTTTTCTTGTCCGACCAGAGGTATTGAAGCAAGGTATCCAAGAACCTTTGTGAAAGATAAAAACAAAACAAAAATATT